GAAACTGGGGCCCCGGTTGTACTGCGTGGAGACCGCGCCCCACGGGGACCTGCCTGGTCCGGGGAGGGGGCTCGATTTAAACGAAGCCGCCGCTGAGATAGGCGCCCGCTGAGCGGTTGGAGGGTTTATCATCCCTGCGGGCTGTTTCCTTGGAAACCACAAACTCGAGATAGGGGCGGAATGCGGGCCCTGATCCCAAAGCCCGGCTCCTCCAGGCCGGGGACTTGGCTGCCCCAGGCAAGTGCTGTGATGATGCACACAACCACGTTTTAGGTAGGCTAGGATTTTTACAAATAAATATATATATATTTCAGCGAGGACGGGAGGGAAACATCAATGATGAGAAAGAACCACTGATCGGCTGCCTCCTGCACGCCCCCTGCTGGGGATGGAGCCCAGAACCGGGCAGGCAGAGGCTCTGTCCCAGCGGTTCTCAACCTGTGGGTCGCGACCCCTTTGGGGGGGGGTCGAACGGCCCTTTCACAGGGGTCGCCTAAGACCATCGGAAAACACATACATAATTACATATTGTTTTGTGATGAATCACTCTGCTTTCCTTATGTTCAGTTTGTAACCATGAAAAGACATCCTGCAGATCAGATATTTACATGACGATGCATCACAGTAGCAACATGACAGTGATGAAGTAGCAACGAACATAATGTTATGGTTGGGGGTCACCACAACATGGGGAACTGTATGAAAGGGTCGCGGCATCAGGAAGGTTGAGAACCACTGCTCTATCCACTGAGCCAAACCGGGCTAGGGAAGTAGGATAGGATTTTTAGAGCACAAGGTTTCTCCGTGAGTTAAAACAGTAAACGAGAGAGAGAGAGAGAGAGAGAGAGAGAGAGAGAGAGAGAGAGAGAGCCATTTTTGACTTTGCAGCCCATGTTGTCCGAGCCATTTTGACTTTGCAGCCCATGTTGTCCAGGCCTGACATTTCCAGCTGGGCAACTTTGGGGTAAACCTAGATTCTCTGCCTTTGGCGTCCGGTTTTGCCCCCAACCATTTCATCGCTGTCCTTCAGGGTCACACTTCTCTCTGTTCTGTGGAAACCGAGGTCCTGGGCGCTTCAGAGGAGCGATTGCTAGCGGGTCTTCAGGCCCAACCTTGAGAGGAGTGAGGGGCCGTTAGGCAGAGAGGCTGAGCCGGAAGGGAGAAGAAGCAAGTTCTAGGTGCCAAACCACACGGGCATAGCAGAACGCCTAGTTATAATGCTGCTGCTGCTGGGTGGCACGGGAGGAGCGCTTAGTTGCAATGTGGCTGGAGAGACTTAAATAAACTGAGACTACCCAAAGGGTAGACCAATCGGGAGGTAACGTGCAGGAGGAAATGGGGAAGCTCTAGCAAAGATAAGCCCCTCGATAAGAGGGCGTTGGTGGCCGCCCTCTCTGGGACCTCCTCCCCGTCCAATGAATCCGATGATAAAAATCTTCTGGTCCAAGATTTTTATTCTTTTTTAAAATATATGTTATTGGTTTCAGAGAGGAAGAAACAGGGAGAGAGAGAGAGAGAGAAGAGAGAGAGAGAGAGAGAGAGAGAAACATCAATGATGAGAGAGAATCATTGATCAGCTGTCTCCTGCACGCCCCCTACTGGGGATTAATCCCGAAACCTGAGCATGTGCCCTTGACTGGAATCGAACCCGGGACCCTTCAGTCCACAGGGCAACGCTCTATCCACTGAGCCAAACCGGCTAGGGGCCAAGATTTTTATTCTTCAACTTCGAGAGACACGGTCCCGGGAAGAACCTCAGCTGGGTGTTCAGGTATCAACATCAATATCTGAATCTTCGGATTCCAAAAATTTGGTTGCATATTTCTCGAGAAATGGAATTGGTATATTTAAGATACAGAAGCACCGTTCTGACTGGAAGAATACGGGTTGTTTGTGGCCCGAGAGAATTTTGAGATGACAGGGCCATTTTAGCTGTGCTAAAAACCAAAATTCAACCGTTTAAAGAGCAAATGAGCCCGGCCGGTGTGGCTCAGTGGTTGCCTATTAATCTATGACTCAGAAGGTTACAGTCCCATTCCCTATCGATTCCCAGTGTGGGGCATGCAGGAGACAGCTGATCAGTGATTCTCTCTCATCACTGATGTTTCTATCACTCTCTCCCTCTCTCCCTTCCTCTCTGAAATCAATAAAAATATATTGAAATAAATAAAAA